CCGAAGAACCTCAGCTTGTCGGTCTCGGTGGTGATCTGCACCCGGCACTCCTCGCAGTGGCTCAGCAGCTCCTTCCAGCACTGCATCACCTCGTGCTCGCGGCAGGCGATGGCGTCGGCCTTCTCGCCGGCGTAGACCGTCCTCAACTGGGCCGCGCTCTCCTGGAGCTGACGCACCTGGGGGGGGGGGGAAGGAAGACCTCTGTTCTTAGCACAGCCAGACTTTTTAGAGCGTTTTTGAGTCGTTCTCCAGGATTTAAGCGGATCTTTTACTGTTTTTCTATGGTCGCTTGCTTATTTTTTCACTCAGTGAAGCCACTTATATCTGACTTATGACCAATTCGGGCAGAAAAAAAAGGCCCCTAACTCAAGGGATGAGCCAGCGTTGTGTCCAGCTCAGCAGAGCAGCAGTTTAAAGTGGATCTTTAGGCTCTTTGTCAGCAGCAGCCTGTCACAGAGAAACAGAATTTGTTCGCGTTTCTGTAGCTGATGTGTGAAAAAGGCCAAAGAAAACCCAGTCTGACAGACAGGAAACAGGATTTCTGAGGATTCCCAAAGAGCTGCTGGCTAGAAACTGGGCAAATCTCAGCTGGTGAGCAGTGAGTCCCTAAAACATCTGAGGAAACTGGACCAGTGAAGGACAGAAGAAGAAGAGCTGGGCCTGAAAACCTCTGTAATCCAGCAGATGAAGAGGATCTGAAAGTGATCAGAAAGAGGAGCAGATCCAGCAGAGAGCTGAACAGGAGCTGAGAGCTGCATCTGGACCTCCAGCTGACCAGCTCCTGGTGGCCTCTGGTTTCTGCCCCATAGGTTTGCAAATATTTCTACACCTTATATATAAAACAATGAAAGAATGGCTTTTTGGATCTATATGAGCATTAAAATAAGTAAAAGGCTGCAAAACGAACCCTTCCAGAGTCAGTTAGAGCTCAGAGTGGGACTACCTGTGCCACCAGCAGCTGGATGTCCTGCTCGAAGCTGTGCAGCAGCCTCTGCAGCGAGCTGGTGTTGGCCGTGCTGCTCTGCCGGGCCCGGACCTCCGGCAGCCGCCGGTGTTTGTCCTCGATCTGGGCCAGAACCTGGGTGGGAAGGCAGGGGGGAAGGGGAAGGGGGGGTGTTTACAGGCATTCAACAAAGGGCTTCTGGTAAAAGCCTTTGAGGGATTTCTAAAGATGTGGAGAATGAGGAAGTGATGTTTGAAAACGGTTGTGTTAACTGAATGTATTTTTACCCTTCACTTTCTATCCAGTTTATTTTGTTGATTTATTTTCTGTCTTTTTTTTCTGCTTTTAAATTATTTGCAAAGCACTTTGACTTGTCTTTTACACCACATGTGCTGTAAAATAAACTTGCCTTACCTATGTGGATATATGTTAGGATATATAACACCTGATCCATGATGTTAGCCAGTCAATTGGTAAATAGGTGTTCAATTCATTTGAATATTTTACTCGCCATATTATTATATTCTAATAACTCTCACTTGTAGTTTATCTTGATTTATTTTGTTGCATTGTAAATAACCTATCTATCTATCTATCTATCTATCTATCTATCTATCTATCTATCTATCTATCTATCTATCTATCTATCTATCTATCTATCTATCTATCTATCTATCTATCTATCTATCTATCTATATGCCTGTCTGTCTATTTATGCCTCCTGTGCTTGTGCTTTTTCCATTTTCTTTGCTGTAATGTGTAAATTTCCCCACGGTGGGAAGTATTGTATTGTATTGTATTGTATTGTATTGTATTGTATTGTATTGTATTGTATTGTATTGTATTCTAAGTGACCATACTGACCACATGGAGCTTTACCTCTCGGCAGTCGGAGAAGAACTTGTGCAGCTGGTGTGAGGCAGCCAGCATCTGGGCTCGGGTCTCCATCAGCTCCAGCAGGTCGGCCCACGCCTCGTTCACGCCGTCCTTCCACTCGGCGATGGTGGCGGCCTCCGAGTGGCCGTAGTCTATGAGCTCGTCCACCATCTGGTTGACGGCGGTCACCCGTTCCTGACCCACGCTTCCTGTCTCCGATGCGAACTCGGTGAACTTTTCCTGCAGGACCTGAAGGAGCGGCGGGCGTCAGAGCATCAGTGGTGGAAATCATCTTAAATCAGGGGAAATCATCTTAAATCAGTGGGGAATCATCTTAAATCGGTGGGGAATGATCTCAAATCGGTGGGGAATCAGTGGAAATCAGGAGGCATCAGTGAGAGTCGTCTTAAATCCGTGGTGAACCATCTTAATACAGTCTTGAATCAGGTGGAATTGGTGAGAATCAGCTAAAAACTGTGCGAATCAGTGCGAATCAGTGCAAATCAGTAGAAATCAGGTGGAATCTGTGAGAATCATCTTAAATCAGTGGAGAATCAGTGTAAATCAGGTGGAATCAGTGAAAATCGTCTTAAATCAGTGGGGAATCATCTTAAATCAGTGGAGAACAGTCCAAATCAGGTGGAATCAGTGAGAAACATTTCAAATCAGTAGGGTATCAGTCTAAATCAGTAGGGAATCAGTTGAAATCAGCAGGGAATCAGTAGTAATCAACTTAAATCAGTGGAAATCAGTTGGAATTGGTGGGAATCAGCTGAAGTTGAGGCCTCTCAGCACACTTACTGTGACGTGCTCGTAGTCTTGGCCCAGTTCGGGCGAGCTGGCCACCACTTCCCTCTGAGCGATCCACTGCTCCAGCTCGTCCACCTCCCTGTTGAGCTGGTAGAGCCAGTACTGCTGCTCCAGCCGGCTCTTCCTCTCCTCCACCAGGTCCTTCAGAGACACGTACAGCCGGTCGATCTGCGACTGGCGCTTGCTGATCTGTTCGCTGTGGAGTAGAAAAGAGAAGCACTGCTGCTGTAGTCAGTGATGCAATGGCTCCATCTCCACCGATGGGTCCTCAGGTGGAAGTAACAGATAGAGCTGGGTATCATCTGCGTAGAAATTATGCCTGAAGCCAAGTGAGTGGATGATTAGACATAAGAGCTGGTGTATATGGTCAAGAGACGGGGCCCCAGCACTGAACCTTGGGGGACCATTACTGGAAAAAAGGTCCAGAGACACATTTTGGTTTAACTCCTCAGTCTAAGACTGACAGACCTTTTATCCGTGAGCCTAACTGCTCCACAGGAAGCTTACACAAACACATCCTCCTGCAGAAGCTGATGACCCTGAGGTTTGCAAACCAAATGCCCTCCTTTCCACACCAGCAAAGCGGATCTGAACCAGGGCCTGCCACAGAAGACCAAGGTCCTTCCTGTGGTCAAACAGGGACCGGATAGCTCTGGGAACTCGATCAAGAGCCTTGTCCAAGTCCACAAAACCCATGTGGACTGGATCCGGCCATTTTCTGACATTTTCTGACAACCGGGAAGAATACTGTCTGATCCTCCTGAGGCCTCTGTCAGAACCTCCTCTCTGGACTGAACTTGCGAGAGCCTCTGATTTGACCACTGGGAATAAAATCGAGTGTGAACCTCCGTGGTTTGGTGCTCACCAGTCTGGATGCCCCATCTCCAGCAGCTGGCGGCACTGCTGGGACAGCAGGCCGATGGTCTCGGCGTAGTCCTCGATGGTCTGCTCCAGGATCAGGTGCTTCTTCAGCAGCTGCAGGGTGCTCGGCTCGTCCTGGGGCCACACAGGGGAGACACGCTTTAATTAACCCGGGAAATCGTAGAGGTTCAAAGTTCGCAGCTCACGATTTATGTTCTCTCACTATACGACCCAATATGAGATCTGACCTCACAGTGTACGTCCAAAAACGCACGTTGGACTTGAAATATGACGAAGACGAAGTTGAACAACATGGAAGGAACATGAGGGTCACCAAAGCTAAAAGCTGCTTCGGCAATTTGCGCGATTATGTGTGCCGAAAGCTTTAAAATGAACGGAAGACGGCGTATTTGGACCATTTGGAGGAAATGTCTGTGCAGACGTGGCCAATACGGCCGGTCAGTTTTACAGCCTGAACCAGAGGGAGGCAGCAACAACTTTGACATAACTTCCTGATACCCCTGACCACTCAGAGCCAGAGATGGAGGGGAGTCGGGTCCTAACGTGGCTTCAATTACACGATTCCCTCACGAGGACCGACCAGAAACTCAAACGGGTTTGATTTTCATCCGACCAGACGATGTGGATCTGGAGGTGGTGGCAGGTTAATGGCTGCTCCTCACTCTGTGTGTACGACACCATGTGAGACACCAGGAGCTGGAACTCCTGATCCAAGAGATTCTCGTACGAGTGAAAAATCGTGTCAAAAAGGGGCAAAAACCGGAAAGCAGATCCCAGCCGGACAAACCCACCTTCCCCTTCTCCTCGTTCATCATGTGCAGCTCCTGCTCGCTCAGCCAGGCCTCCACCTCGGCCGTGTCGAAGTAGTACTGCTGGGCTTGGTACATGGCGTCCAGCACCAGCTGCCTCCTCTCGGTCTCCGTCCAGAGGAGGGCCCACAGATGGGCCAGCTGGTCGTGGCCGGCCCGGATGCAGTCGGCCTCGGGGCTGCGGATGGAGGCGATGATCCCGGCCCGCTCCAGCACGTCGTCGATGCGGCCCCGGTGGCCCTGCAGCTCCCTCTGGAGCGTCTGCAGGCGGGAAACACAAACCAGGTCACCGGTCGGCTGTGAAGCCACAGAAACTCATCGGATCCCAAACCAGACGCTCTGAGTGTGTCTTTTGGTTTTGTCACCTGGTTCTTCTTCATGAGCTGCTGGACGGCCTGCAGCGAGGAGCCGTGCTCCTGAGAGGTGGCCAGCGGGAGGCGCTCCTGGACCCACAACTGCAACACAGCAGCACAACACACATTTAACCAAGTCCAAACATTGGCTATCCATACAAACAAACACAAAACGATTGGTTATTTTTTATAATAACGTCATTTATTAGCCGTTTTTTGTTAGACAAGCAGAGGGAAGGGAACAGCTAAAGCTAGGTCCAGAATAAAGAGCAAAAAAAAGATGACTTTTTTGGGGGGGGGGGGGGGGTCATCAGGAACCTGAAGCTACAGAGGAGTCTGTGTTTTAAAAAGAAAACTAATCAGTATTTAGTATTCTTCAAGTTTATCAAACCAGCTGCTGATTTACGTTTTTTTTGTGAAGTCACATGATCATTTTTCTATTTGAAAGATTTGTTCACAGTGTAAATCCTCTCATTCTACTTTTTACCAGAGGGGAAAACGTTTAGATGTGTTTAAATAGACAATGACACCCCGGTGTCGTCGGTAGTCAAAAGCCTTCCTGTGATGGAAAGTGGAAAGCAAAGTACAAACAAAGGAACTGGTTCAGATTTGAGGACACCTGGGTCAAGATCCACCTCCCAGAGGTGGAGGCACAAAGAAAGCTGTTCTTTCACAGGATCCCTGTGAAGGAAAGACCAAACAGCTGCCAGCTGTTCAGGGAACAAATCCACCCGAAGGAGAAAGGACTCTCTGTGAGCACAGTAATTCCACATCTGGACTGAAGAAACAGATGTTTGAGAGGGGAGGGGGACTCAGGCGTCACCTTCCAGCTCCTATCAGGAGGTTTCAGCCATTAACAGCCTGGACCAAAACTCACCTTTCAGAAAAACTACAGGTGAGAATGACTCTTTCTCTCATTGGTCAGGGGCTTCAGACCATAATTCCCCATAAATAATCTAATTTAGAGCTGAAGAAGCCTCTAGGATGAGAGGAGAAACCTCTAAAGATCCAAGAAGAAGAAGTCTTAGCTGCTTTACTCAGACTCTGAGCATCACCAGAACCTGATGCCAGAACCTGATGCCTCCCCACCCCCCGAGAGTGGGCTCCCGGTTGTCAGACTCACAATCTCGTCCTCCAGATCTCGCCCGACTTGATGGACCTCCTTGGAGGCCAGCAGGATGCGCCGCCTCTCCTTCAGCGGCTCGATCAGACGCACCATGCGGGCCTCCACGCCGGCCTGCCGCTCGGCCACCGTCTCCCGGACCTGCGTCTGCGGCGGGATGGAGGACGCCTGCACCTGGAGCTGCCCCACCTCCTTATACCACTCCTCCATCTGGGTCTCCATGCCCTGAGGGGAGGGGGGAAGAGGAGCCAAAGGGTGGAAGTCATCAGAATTCAGGAGAATGAGGGAGGAGCTTCTTATACTTTCCTGATTTTCCAAAATCATTTCATTTAAGCTTAGTGAAAGGTCTCCGTTTACCAAAAGATGGACACGAAAGGCCAAAAATGTGACTGAAAACAACCCAAAAGAAACGAATGGATAGCTGGCTGACAGGCATGAGGTGTAGAGAAGGTTACCGTACCCCTTGTCAGGATGGATGGTGGGAGGTGGAGTTGGGGTTGAGGTGAGGATGAGGTGGGAAAGGCGTGCAAATGGCGGCCTGTTAAAGGGAGCTGAAAGCGGCATGCTGTGGGAGAGCAGAGCGAGAGATGTCCGGTGAAGAGGTGAAGGAACGGAGGGATGAAGCTGCCCGTCAAAACCCGCCGGATGAGGCTCGGATTTTCATCCCGAGACCACAAAAACTAGGCCATGGGGGGCCACCAGAGAGCAGAGACCTCAATCCAGCCGGGGCTGAGAGGCTGAGAGGCTTTTCCCCGCCAAAAGAGTCTGATCTGACGACAATCAAACTTTTGTCTGAGCGTAGAAGCCAAAAAAAATGAAGTAATTTAGGGAATCCAATGAGATCCTGAGGAGCTCCGTGAGGGAAAAACCTCAGTTCCTGTAAATCTCGCTTAAATCTGACTTTAATCTCAATATCTGGACAAAAGGAGATCATTCATGCCGGACACTTTTCAAAGAGATCATTTCTGAGCAGACGGACAGTTTATTATTATTATTATTTATCTGTCTGTCATTGGCTGACCCTCCTCAATCAAGAATATTGACTTCTATGAAAACTGTGACACATGTTTAATGATATATTTGATGTTTTTTCTCCTTCTCCTACCAAACAAACCAGACCTGCTCAGCCTTTTTCTGACTGTGAGCTCCTGACCTTTGACCTTCTCTGGGTTTCTTTTGACTTTGGGGCCACCTTACTGTTTTCCACTTTTTATGAATAATCTTTCTCTCCAGATAATCTATAAACTGTCCTCAAACCCCCTCAGATCGACGGGTTTCTCTCAGTTCTTTGCTGATGTCTTTCCTCCTTGGCATTTTTCCAACAGAGGAGGTTTAAGACCTGTTTAATCAGCACTGACACAGAGTTAAAAGAGTCTAATTTCTGTTTTACATTATTAACAACAACGTCTGACCCGTTCATGCTGCTGTTTAACAAACCACAAACCACCCGAATTAGCTTTTTCAACTTAAACCAATAAGCTAACAGGACGAAGTCTTTTAAAACCTGTATTTTCCTGATTTAATTGTTCATTTTTTAAACTAAAGTGGTCAAAAACATCAACCAGTTATATGGATGTATAACCTCTTTCCTGGATTATCACAGAATCGGGTCTTTTAAGATGGAAAATATGACTAAAATAAATCCAAAAAGATATAAAAAAGGCTGAAAAACATCTTGGGATGAAACCGTCGGCACGGAAGCACAACTTAGGAATTCAAACTTTCAAAGGTGGAGCTTTTTTGTGTTTTTAAAAGAAATGAGGCGGTAACAATGACAGTTAATTCCACATGCGAGCAGAAGCAGAACAGAAAAAAAGTCTGTTATGCTGTGAAGAAAAACCTCATTATCTGAAAAGAACAGCAGATAATGGTGGTTTTTTTGCAGTTTTACCCCCCAAAATGAACAGAGCCTAGCATCAAGCCCCCCTCACAAGGCTAAATATTGGCGGTTTACTCAGATAAAATGTCCGACCCCCTTATCTGAGCAGGTTTGTGGGTCACCTACGTGCAGTTTCTTGAGCTGCTTGTTGACGGTGGTGAGGTCCTGTCCCTGGTCCACGTAGGCCAGCTGCCCCTCCAGCTGGCCCAGCCTCTGGTCCAGGCTCTCGTAGCTCTGCACCAGCAGGTCGGCCCTGTTGGCTTCGAAGAGCTGGCGGGCCTTGGCCTGCGTGGTGCTCTCCAGGTCCTGCCAGCACTCCCGGATCTCCTCCAGCTTCTTCCGCACCACCGGGCTGAGCTCCGGCTTCTCCTGGATTAGCTGCTGGCCCTCCTGGAGGAGCAGGAGAGAGGGGGGGGGGCAGTTAGAGGACCGCGTCCATTCAGAGCTGCGAGCAGATACCAGTTAGAGGGAAATAGCTGCTTTTAGCCCCAAGGTGGAAACGAAACACAACATATTTACAACAAAATATCAGATTTAATGGAAAAAACAAAGGTCTAACATTAAAATGATAGTAATCGGACCACATTCCACAATGATAATGTTGAACTATTGCGTCTAAAAAGCTGATTCATGTGTTTTTTTTCTCTCTCTGTTCCTCCATTAGTTTGTTTCTTATGTTTTTTTCTGATTGGCTGTTTTTTTTATCTCTCTGGATGCCTGTTGTTGGGTTTTTTACAGCTCTTTGGTTTTCGTTTTAGCAGTTTAACAGTCTGGTTTTCTGGCTCATCCACTGCTTTCTTGATTTTCTACTGAGTGTTTGAATCCAGGCCAGCATTTGGGTCCTCTTTCCAACATTAAACCAAACACAAAAGGTCTTAGGTGAAATGTGTCTTATGTTAAAAAAACAAGTTTTTCTGTGGAAACAGAGCGGCTCATCGCTCCCTGATCAAAGCACAGAGACCTAAATTCACAGTTTGAGGCCCTAATCATGCAGACTGTTCTCTGAAATGAGGACAAGGTCAGACTTTATGTTCAGAAATGGGATTCAGAGTTCAGATCAAATCTGAAACGCAGGAAAACAGCAGCAGCTTAGATGTCCCAGCTTTCTACCAGCCCCTGAATGCGCCACCTGAATGAATTCAAAATAAGGCTGGAGGTAAAAATCTGTGCAGGATTTCCATGTTTGTGTGCATGTGTGAGGATTATTTCAGAAAAGTTACACACAAAGAGGTTTAGACCCACGCGGGGTCCATTTTATCTCCACCAGCAAATCAAACCGAGGTTGAAAAACCCCAAAGGAACAAAAAAAAGGGGGGAAGGTGATGAAAAGGTGAAGACAAAGAGCACAAAGAGGGGAGTCGGACCGGGGAGAAACTGAGGAACCACAAACAGGAGCCAGAAACAAGAGAACCATACAAATTAAAAATGAAAAATAACAGAAAATAATGAGTGAAAAGCTCAGAAACAACCTGAGATTGAACCAAAATCCACAAAATGAGACGGAAATGTAAATCTGATGGGAAACCCACTCTGGCTTCTGGGTTTAATGCCCCCCCCACACCCTTTTTTAGTGCTGCCCCTCTTTTTGCTGCAACACCTGCTCCATTTCTTTAATTTTCCCTTTCCAGATGAAGCTTGGAAATCACACCTATATTAAATCAGGATTTAATCAGGACTAGACTCAGAGCAGAACAACTGAGAGGCTCATGGCACTGTGACCAATGGGAAGCTTTTGGTGGATTTCACACATCCCCCATCCCAGTCGGAGGCATTCCCCCAGAAAGCAGCCCGTCTGCCAATAAACAAGATCCCCTTTCTTTGTCTCCTGCCTCCACTTTCCCCACCGACACACATGAAAACATGCAGGCTGAGGCAGACTCTGCAGGACGTCTTCACTTCTGACCAATCGGAGCCATTTTGGACGCATTCATTCACAATAAAAACGTCAATATTAAGAACTCGTTTTCTGGAAAGACACTGAAAAAAGCTCTTTTCTCGCATTTCTGATCTCTTTTGGGGTCATAAAAACCAGAATCAGGGCTCGTTCAGAGGTTTTGGTGCCACTTTTTGGTAAAAATGGGACATTTTGAAACATTTCAGGTGGATTCTGTCAGACTCTTTCAGTTTTTTATGTTTTGGGCCTTCTGTGTTCCTTTTATTGATTTAGACTTTTGCTTTTCTAAGATTTTGGCTACTTATTTTGTCTTTTTTGATCAGAGATCTGTGGAAGTGCTCTCGGTTTTCTTCAGTTGTTGGATTTTCTTTACAGTTTTTGTTTACTTTGACCAGTGTTTTCACCCGTTCTGTCTTATTTCTCCTCCTCAGTCTCACTATCGACAATCCATGCAGCATTTTAAAATCCTTTTTCTGCAAACAGAAGGCAACAGGAAAAATATCTGGGTGAAACAGAACAAATCTGACTAAATACACCTAGAATAACCTTAAAAGTTTAAAAAAAGATTTGGTTTGCATGTAATAAAACAATCTAATCATTTCTCAAATCACCATCCCGAGTATCTGATGTTCAAATTTAAGAGATTTTGGTGAAATAAATGTGAGGTTATTTTGGGAAACATCCCTCCAAAGGCAAAGGCAGCCAGCATTTGGTGCTTGGTGGGTGGGACTCTCAGAGTCTGGCAGGACATTTGACCAGGATGAGAGGTGACTCATCCACATCCAGCCTGAGAAGCAAATGTTTTGGTTAAATTTGTTTGGACTTATTGTACAAACCTATTTAACATCCACTATTTTAACATAATATTATGTATAGAGTTTAATTCAGTGTTTGCAAGATTCATTTCACTCATTTTTAAATTAATGTCTATATTGCCATGAAGCAATTAGGATTTTCTTGCCTGGGATCTTCCTATTGGTGACCTAATCAAAATGGCCGACTTGGATGTGGGCGGGGTTGGATATCCATCCAAGAAATAAAAAATTGGGAGCATTCTGCTCCATTTGTGCTGCTAGAGATATTCATAAAACACCAATAAATTCAATCTATGAGGAGTGTCGACTTGTTTTTATCCATAAAGGAGGCAGAGGGACACAGTTCCTGAAAATAACAAGGAAATCTGTGAAAGTTCAGCTGGAAAATGACCAGAAAAAAAAGGATATTTGTGATTTATTAGCGAGCCTCCTCCTAAAAAGCCTGTTTTTATCTATTTCCAGGTGGTTCTGGAGCCTAACTTTGATGGTTTCCTCCTCCTCTGGGTGTGTTCTGGCCTCTTACAGGCGTTGCTCTGCCGCCGGTCCCTGTTTGAGCGCAGTCATCCTGCAGAACGAGCAGCAGCCATCGATTAAACGCCGCTTTTTACTCACTCAGAACCAGGCCCGCCTCAGCTTACTGCGCTCAGACCTCTGGATTACACCACACGCCTTTCATTCACTCACATCCCGTCTTTCAGATTCTGCTCCACTCAATTATTCACGAGCAGACCTACATTTACGGATTCATCCGACTGAAATCAATAGATTAGATCATACAAATCCATCAAACTAAACTTTAATGATCCCAAAAGTGGAAATGATCTATATCTGCTGTGTTAATGGTTGTTAAAGTTATGCTTTTGTTACACATATACACAGAATAAATCATAAACCAGCTTAAAAAAACATGCAGGAAGAAGAGAGGAAGGAATGTAACATCTTTCATTATAAAAAGGAAAAAATCTAAATTATCAGAGAAGAAAATTTTTGAAAAAGTAGTAGAAAAAGTAGATTATATATATACTTAATATAATATATAATATACAATTTCATAGTTCTTTATTGGGGAAGTTGTATATTTGCTGTTTTATTTTAAAAATCTACATTTTTAGAGGAGAAAATTTTTGAAAAAGTAGTAGAAAAAGTATATTTCATATATATATTTAAATATATATAATATACAATTTCATAGTGCTTTATTAGGGAAGTTGTGTATAGGGTTAAAGATCCAGCTGCTGAGGCGTGTGGGCTGTTTAGACTAAGAAAGAGGTTATCTACAAGGTTGGAGAGAGATTTTCTACCTTTAGATCTGATGTATCTGTCTGTAAAATCCTCTTTTGGTCGGAGTCTGTGTCTAAACATCAGCAATTACTCCATACCAGACTTTGCACTGAGAAAAAGCTCATGAAGCTCAAAGAGAGACCGGGCATGCGTGAGGACAGCTCCTGGCTTCCTGTTAGGAGTCCTAACAGCCAATCAGAGCTCACGCTGCATTTTTGGAGGCAGGAGAAGAAGAACGTGGTTCAGATTGTGGTGGAAAACAGGAAACAGGAAGCTCTGTGCTGCATCCATCCATCACCAGGGCTGGGAACCCCCCCCCTCTCCTCACTGGGGGGGGGCCAGCCCCCCCCCCCCCCCCCCCCCTAATTTGGGGGTGTCCAGGCCACAGACCAGAGTGGAAGGAGGAGAGATGATTTGAGGGCTGGAGCCTTCAGGCAGGAGCTAAAGGAGGACTGGAAAGAGGACGAGGAGGAGGAAGGGGGGGGGGGGCGGCGGGCGGGCAGCTGTTGCCTGGCAACCACGGGAGTTTGCGTTCGGTGTGGAGGGGATGCTGGGAGAGCCCACAACTTCCTGCTGGTGTTCGGCTTTTTCTTTTCGATTTGTCCCCTTTTCTCTCCGTTCGTTTTTTTCTGGGTTCCGAAGCCTCCCGAGTCCCAGATCCTCCGCTCGCTTCGTCAGGAGTTCTGTGGACTTTGTTTTGCGTCATCTAGGGTTTTATTTTCAGCCTTTTGCTCTCAGCTGGCCAGTCTCAGCTGTTAACCAAACATTAGTTCTCATCCCCCCGTCATTGCTCTGATTCGGGGTCCTGCACTGGTTCAGGTCCAGACTCTGATTCTGGCACATCTATCTGTAGCTAAATGCTACTGATAGCATCGACTAGCCATTTATTTATTTCAGAAATAATGTGGGAATGCTTTTTACTATCATGTTCATTGTTATTTTCACCATCTCATTCGGTTAGAAAACCAAAAAACATTCTCTTTTTTGCAGAAATCTCTAAAAAAAACCTGTTTAAACTAAAAATATCAGAGTTATTTCTGTTATTTCTGCATCCAGCATCACCAGGAGCTTTAATTCTCACGTTTAAACGTTTAAGCCAACGTTTCAACACTTTCAGATCATCAGGATTTAAATCCCAACTGTTTTTTCCCTCAAAAAATCAGCCGAAAAGCGTCCAGCAGAACATTAAAACCACTAAAGCTTTTTCCTGCACAGAAATGACTGGAAATAAACAGAATCTGACAACTTAATCGGAAATAATGACATTTTGTACTATTTTGGCCTCTTTAATTTTTATTTAATATTTGAGAATGCTTTAATAACAATATTTTAGTGATAAAAACATAGTTTTGGCTATAGGAGACTCATCCTGTCCTGCAGACAGTTGAAGCCTTGAATGAGATTTAATTTGAATTACTTGAAGTCTTGGTTCTCTTCTGGAGTTTGTTTGTTTGTTTGTTTGCTCCTGAAATCTTTCATTGTTTTTTGTTGCATTACTTGTGTCAAAAATCCACTTTCTTTGTACTTTTGATTGACGATTTGACATCTTAAATTCTAAACAACGTATGTGGACAAAAGACGTCCAAAAATAACAGGGAGACGCTTCGTTAATCTCCTCCTGAAAGCCGAGAGGTGGTATTTAGCTTTTCCTCCTTAAGCCCAAAAAGTGCTGTATTGATAATCCACAATATGGAAGACTTTCTCCAATCCGGGACCTGAAGGCATCACATCCATGAAATCTGTGCTTCATTTCAGCATCGATCGGGGGAAATGTTTCCATCTTAACGTGCCTGAGTCACAGAAAGTGGCTCCAACTGCTTCTAGCTGGACTTCCTTCCCCTAGTTTCAGCTAATTCCAGCTGAATAATCATCCCTGCTGGAGCCCCGTTGCTAACGTCACATGACAGTGGAGCGTTCGGTTCCCAGTGTCCCGCTCTTTGGCCCGACAGGAGATGAGAGGACTCAAACCCGCTCAGAACAGAGGATTCAGCTCTCATTACGTCCCGTGGCAGTCATGGATGTGGCTTCAGTGGGCTGAAGTCAAATGGAGAGGGCCTTCGGCCACAGATTTTCCAACTTCCAGCTCTCTGGGTCTCTCCTGACCCCAAACTGCACCCGGTTCAAATCACCGTGGATAATAATGCCCAATTTCAGCCAAACTGTAGATTTTCTATCATTGTTCCTTAGCAGTCAGTAAGAAAAAGGCCCCTCCTCACTGTCTCTTTTCCAGTAAAGACATCTAATGTGTCCTGATAACCTGATAATGCTTAGTTCACAGACCAACAAAAAGCTCAGTAAATCTCAAAACCCACCTCACACATTCTTTCAGACAACTAAAAAATGTAAAACGATGTAAAAATCTTTGATTTATTAGCTCAAAAACAAATAAGTGTGCAGGAAATTCCAATTATTCCACTTACATAGCGGTTAAATCTCAGGTTTATGATAAACATGTACGTTGTTTTATCTATAGACTCAGTAGAGGAGCAAAAATAGCTAGAAAATTTACCTCTATCTCTGCTAAATACTATATGCCTTCAGAACAAATGGAAACGTACCAATACTGAGATTATCAAACAAAAGAAGGGGGATGGTTACTCTGAGCCAGAATATCAAACCCCTAAAGAAGTCAGAAAATTAATAAATAAATTTAGCTTTTAACTTAAATGGGGATAACCCTTAAAAAAATTAGAACAACCCTGTAAAATTAAATGTAAAGCTGAAATAAAGCAAGTTCGGTATTCTGGGGATCAGCAAAAAATGACAAAATTATTTGAAATTTTTTATGTTTATAACTGTAGACTCACATTGACCTTTGAACTTTTGAAGAGGCCTGATGGACGACATCAAACAAACACACAAAAATCCGATTTCCCATCGATGCTCCAACGTTACTGATCACTTTCATTTCTTTAGAAGAACAACAACTACATCCACTTTCAGCCCTAACAGGCAGAGTTCCACATATCAAACTCCAGAGTTAAATGTAGCTCCTCGGAAAAGCAAAGTCAGCCCGTAAAGCTCCAGAAACAGAAACGGGAAAAAGCAAAAAAAAATCGGCGCTCACCTTCTCTATCTTGGCCAGCCACTCCTTGTTCTGGGCCAGCTCGGCCATGAAGGCCTGGTGCTTCAGCCACTTCTTGTGGAGCTTCTGGGTCTCGTCCCGGCTTCCGTCTCTGGCCATCAGCATCTTCTCGTACACCCAGTCCCCCAACTGGGGGGGGGGGGGGGGGGGGACGGGAAGAAGGGGGGGAAGGGGGAGGGGGGCACCCCCCCCCCAAAAAAAAAAAAAAAAAAAAAAAAAAGAGATGCGCGCCCCCCCCCCGGCTGTGTTCAGGACCGTTTAAAGCCGCTTTAAAGCCCCCAAACACAAGGTCACGCGCGGACGCCGCCACGCGCCGCGTCACAGCGAGCCGCGCGCACGTGCGCCGACGAGCGAGCGTGGCGGCGGGAATTTCGCACATGCACACAACCAGCGGAGAGGAGAGAAGGTTTCTACCCCCCCTCTGCCCCCCCCCCCCCCCCCCCCCTCCCCCCCCCCCCACCCCCCACCCTCTCCGTTACCGGCTGTGTTTACGGGGAGTTGTGGCGCGTGCAGGCGGCCGCCGACGTCCGCATCCCGGCGCGCGCGCGGAGCGGACCCTCCCTCCCCCTCCCCCCCCTCCCACCCCCCCTAAACTCCACCCGGGGGGAGATCGGGACCGGAGGAGGCGTCGGAACGGGCACGGAGAGGCGGGAGGAGAAGCACGGGCCGGTGGATAACGGGAAATAAGAGCAACTGCGCTCCCTCTCTGCTGTAGGGGGGGGGGGGGGGGGGGGGGGGGGGAGGAGGAGGGAGGGAGGGGGCGGCTCTGTGACGACTGAGAGATGAGGAGAATAAAAAAAAATAAAATAAAAAAAAAGCTTCTTCAAAACAATAAAATGGCAGGCTGCCCAACCGGTCCTACCCCCCCCCATCCCCCCTCCTCCCCATCCTCCCCCTCCTCCTCCTCCCCCCTTCCTCCTCCTCCACAGGCTCTCAGGAGGAGGAGCAAAGAAGCCGGGACTGGGTTTGGGGGGG